CACCCTCCTTGCCCAGCCCCTGGGCCGGTGGGGGGGCAGAGGGGCCGTGCCTGGAGAAGGCAGCTGCATGGGCACTCGGGGTTCATCGCTGCATGAGCTGTGGGGAGCAACCCCTGATCCCAGGGGGGTCTGTTTAGACCTAGGAGGCTTATCCTGCCATGGGGAGACGGGGGGGACTAAAGGGACCCTAAGGTGCCTTCTCGTGGCACTGGTCACCCAGGATGGAGGATGCTGGGCTGGCAGAGCTGCAACCTCAGCCCCTGTCCCTCGAGTTCGGGGTGCTGGCACACAGGGGACCTCAGGGACCCACTTTGAGGCTCCAATGAGAGACACCCTTCCCACCCCTCCCCAGGGACATGGCAGCCAGGGTATGGGGACACGTGGAGGAGGGAGGTGTGGCTGGGCCCCGGCAGCATCAGTTGCTGCTGCCCTTCCCCTGCTCCCATGCCCTGGCCTGTCCCAGCCCACCTGCTGCCCGGGGGGCCGGGGAGTGAGCAATGGGGCAGAGAGGTGTCCCCACAGGCATAGCCCTGGGTCACCCTGGGGCAGGGCAGGCTCAGCCCCTTCTCCTGGCACGGCCATGTGAGAACCTGCCTGGGGACCCCGGGGATGGAGCCAGCACCCTGGGGCTCCCCACGTCTTTGTCACCACCAGCTCCTCGGAGCTAAGCGTATGCAGGCAGGCCTGTCCTGCCCACGGACCCCTCTGAGCTGTAGCTGGGACAGTGATGCCCATGGGTAACGACCCCGTGCCAGCCCCAGAAACCCCTCTGTGCAATCCCGCAGGCACTGGGAATGTGCCCAGCCCCAGCAGCTCCCGGCTCTGCTGCTCCGGGCTCCACCCCCTTAGCAGCCAAGGGCGATCAGGGCTGGCCGGAGCTGCGGTGTCTGGGATCAATGGGGAAGGGGTGACCAAGGCCAGTTCCCATGCTGAACCCCTGGTGTTGGAGCCGTTAGAACCACCACCACCTCCCCGCAAAAGCCCTGAGCCAAAACTACGGGGCTGCTCCCCAGGGGGACCATCCCTGGCCCGGCCCTTGCAGACATGATATGTTTTTTAGGTTCACTCAACACATTGTTCATCTCACAGTCCTGTTCCCGGGTTTGCCGTGGGACTGAGCTCCCACGTGCAGTCTCCCATGGGTGGGAGGACAGGTATCCCAACCCTTACCTCTCATCTCCTTCTCCCCATCCTCCCTCCTCCCCAGCTCTCTGGAGTACCCACTGTCCCCCACCACAGGGAGCAGATGCCGCCTCCTCCCTCACGCTGCAGGTCGCATGGCGTGACCCCCCCACCCCGGGGCATGGTGACCCACAACCCGCTTGGCATCTCCAGTCTGTATATTTTGTATTATAACAATAATATGGGTTAAATAAATAAAAAAAAAAGACAATAAAATCTAACCACAATCGCTATGCACACCACTGTTACATCTTTGCTTTTGTCAGCCATCTGGGGGGGGCAGGGGGAATACGGTCTGAGGGTCTCTGCAGAGGGTTGGCAGCCCTTCTGGGGTGCTGCAGCTGTAGGACGCTCTGCACGGGTGCTCTGGGAGGTTGCATGGGAGACAGGGTATGTGCTGGGCTGGCCGGGGTCCCAAACAGCCTGGCCTTGCCATCAATGGCCCCGTAAATACAGTCTTTCCCCTGCTAAGAGTCTGCAGGTGTTAGGCTAACAGGGCTTACACCAAGCGTGTCAGGTCTCAGGAGCAGGGCTGTCAGGTGTGTTACCAGCTTGTCAGGAGAGCTGCTGGCTGAACCCACACTTGGGACTGGGTGGCCCTTATTAGGATGAGGTATTTAAGGCTGAGCCAACAGGAAGGTGTTCAGCTACTGCCTTGAAAAGGTAGGTCTGGACTGGACAAGGGGGTTTTGTTAGGGGTATGAATTGTATAGGCAACTATTGATCCTTGGGAAAATGCAGCTTTGAGAACTGGGAAAAATGGCTTGAAACAAAACAAGGGGGGGGGGCGGAGGGGGCAAAGAAACCAGCAGAACAGGATAATGGACAGTGACACCCTCCAGCATTATGCAGTCTGTGCTCTGGGAACTGAAAGCTCAATGTGAAGATCTGCCTGAAGGCCCAAATATCTTAAAAGGATGGGCTCTGGCTATGGGGGGAATTGCTGTTGTGGGACTGGGAAAGCTGCAAGTCTGCTCTTTCTAAAGTCTCTGACTCCTGGGGGACTCTTTTGACCTGCTGGTTATCACCCAAGTCCTTGCAGAGCAGTATGAACGGGCCTGAGTGCATTTTCCCCTCTAACCCACCTTTCCCAGTATATCCCATCCCCTGTGAGCTCTGCCTGGCCAGCTATTTTGGGTGATGCCATCCGTGGGCTTGACGTGCCCTCTTGTGGCACAAGGATGCTGTGAGCCACTGATGGGGTCCCTTGGGTCCCTCTCCCCAGGGTGATGGGCAGGAAAGAGACTGGGGTGATAAGTGGGGGGAAAAGGGTGCTGTAAGGCTCACTCAGCCTTCAAATGCTACTGTAGCCTTTTCACACCAAAGAGGAATAGGTTTGTGCAGGGATCATGGCTGGTAGTTATGGGAGGGTGGGGGGAGCTGGTCCCCTGGAAGCCAAAACAAAAAAAAAAATCTCTGCTCAGCTCCCCCTTGGATAAGGAGCAGGGAGGACTGGACTAGTCCCTCCAGGTGTCATCAGTTTGTTATGAGAAGTTGCTGTGTGGGGCAGGGCTTGGGACCAGGTGTCCCTTGTTGGGATGTGGCATTTAAGGGTGAGTAACAGTGAAGGTGCTGGCTCTATGCTGGGAATGGAGGTAAGAGCTGATGGGTCATTGGAAAAGGGCAGCCTTGTGTTGTTTCAAGCCATCTTTTTCCCAGCTTTCAGAGGAAAAAAGAATAGTGGTTATGTGGGAAAATAGCTGAGCAACTAGATGAGGCAGCTGATGCAGTCTGGGGCAGTAATTCACTCCAGCACCCTGGTTACTGACTAGGAACACAAACATCTTTGTAAAAAGATGAGATCCCAGCACCGGGGGAACTGCTACCGCAGGATTATTTCAGCGCAAAGCTGTGAGGGTGGTGTCTGCTTCAGGGTCCCTTCTGACCTAGCAGCCAACTGCTCAGCTCTGCATATTGTAGCATGAGAGTACTGTGTGTTTTCCATCCAAATTCTGTGCATTTCTGCTCTCTAACCCTTCTGTAAAGTCTTGTTGTGTATTAACACAATTTAGCTAGTTACTATTTAGGGTAGCAGTACAATTGCTATTTTTGTTCTTTGAAAGCTTTGGATTGGACATGATGGTAACTAGAGATGCTCCTTGGCCAGGGTCTTTGCTGCAGCTTCCTGAGCATGGGTATAAATGGAGCCAGAAATACAGCTGTCTTGGGTTTCTCATCATGCCAAAATATCATCAGTGGAAATAAGCTCAAAGAGCAAGAAACAGACTTCAAAAATGCAAGGGAGGGGTCTGGGAAAGCTGAGTGAGCTGGTGGTGTGGGTTAGCCCCAGTTAGCAACTAAGTACCACGTGGCTGCTTGCTCACTCCTTCCTCCCCCTTGGTGGGATGGGGCGGAGAATTGGGAGAAAAAGGTAGAACTCATGGGGTGAGATAAGGACAGTCTAATAGGACAGCAAAGGAAGAGGAAAATAACAAGAACGCTAATAAAATAATATACAAAGCAAGTGCTGCACAATAGAATTTGCTCACTGCCCAGAATCCAGTGCTCAGCCTGTCCCTGAGCAGTGATTTCTCCTCCCTGGCCAGCTCCCCTGCCTTATATAATGAACGTGACATCATATGGTATGGAATATCCCTTTGGCTAGCTTGGGTCAGCTGTCCTGGCTGTGTCCCCTCCCAGATTATGAAAATTACCTCTATCCCAGATGAAAACAGAACAGCTGGGTGGCGTGAACAGTGTCCAAATCAGCAGGGAATGTTTTTTCACCAGTTTTCATTAATTTTGTTCAGTTTTGGCTGAAACAAGATGTGTCTGCAGGCCTTCTCCAGCCCTTCCTCACAAGCTGGGGTTTCCAGCAGCTTTTTGCTGTTTTCCTGCTGGCTGGTTCCAGCTGTGGCCTCACCTGTGCTGGGTGGGCTGGAAGGATTACTTCACTGGCCTCTCCCTATAACCTCACAGGAGGTCATTGCCCGATGAGGTCATCGCCCTGTGGTCTCTCAGTCATGCTCTGGGGGCCTGTTGCTCCCAGCCCCACACGGTCCCATGCGGCCGGAACTTCCCCTGGAGAGATGCCATCTGACGTCAGACCTTTTCTCTGATTTACTGAGATGATCTCAGCTTTGCAGCCCTGTCCTTCAGCATCCTCACAGCCCCTTCCAGGCGTGGAAACATCTGCAGGCGTCACACCAGCCGGGCTGCGCCAGGAGGGAGCAGCTCCACGTAGGGGCTTTTCCCCTTGCACCCCACCCGTGGCCCCCTTCCGACCTGCGCCGTGGTCTCCCATCCGCGCCGCAGTCCCAGCGGACCCTGCTTAGCTTGCGGGGCCGCGGCGGCGCCCAGACAACT